ATACAAACCCCTGCAACCTGCGGACCCCTAAACAGCCGGGGACGGGGAGGGGTCGGAGTCGGAGGGGTCGGAGGTAAAAGCCATATGCAGCGGAGTGCACAAAGCGAGTGGGGTATCCCTGCCCGTACCCATTCCACCGGGACTCGTATCACAAAATCCACAATGTACATACGAGTGACAGAAACACCATACGCAACGCGGGTCAAATCTACCGCACACACTTCCTAGCAGCACCCACATTGTCACCCCGGGACTTCTACCGTAGGTGATGGCCTTATCACCCACCAATCGGTTTGAGCAGCAGTGATTTCTCAAATCTTGCATAGCAAACGGCCTCGAACAGCCGTGTGGCCGATCTAGGATGGCCAGCGTCCCACTCGAGCTGCCCTTCGCAGCAGACCTAGCCACATTCTGGAAATCTTTACCAATAGACTTTCTTCTGGTCGGACATAGCCTGTTCTGTGCGGGCTTGGCGCCGGAATTCAAGCAGCGCTGGCTGGTGCACTACATTGTGCGTCGCCACTGCAATCGGCTCGGCCTGAATCGGCTTCTGCGCCGCGCCATGCCTGAGTCGCGGCGCGCACCTGGTGGTGCAGCTGCTTGCGCCTGAAAACATACAACGTAGCCCAATCCAGCTCGCAGCGCTTTGCTTGTCATGCAGCGGCACACCCCCGCCTCCGTACTCCGACTCAACAACGAGCGCGCCCCGCGCCGCTCCCCGCAGCTGACCTTTCTCTGGGGCTTTGGCGGCGGCACCATCACCTCGCTCCTCTTCCAGGTGGGGGGCCGCGCCCCAAAACCAGGACGCAGCGGCCGCGCGGCCGAGCAGCGCCGCATGCTGCGTGCACCGCGGCGGGGCGCCTTCAGCTGCCCGCGCCCGCTTACTGGGGGGGGCAATAGGATTCGGCATCCAAGCACCGGCCATGCGCATGCATGGCAGCATCGGACAGCTGCACGACGCGACCGACCGCTCGCACCATTCAGCGCTGCAAAATCATGCCAGCGCAACGATATGTCAGCGGTCTACGCCCCGCGCACGCGCCACGCGCCTGGCTGCGCCTTGCCGCGCCCTGCCGTGCCCCCAGGACCCCAAGCGCGGCCCCCTGGCGTTCTTCGTCAACAACGACATCGCGCTGATCTGGACCCTCTGCTGGTGGCTGGTGGCGTACAGCCCCGGGGGGTACGTGGAGAGGGCCTGCAGCAAGTGGTACGTCCTGGTGAGCATAGCAGCCGTCGCGCTGGCTGGCTCTGTTTTTCACCAAATGCGGTCACGTGGTGGCCGGCGGACATTGCCGGCATGGAGATGGGCGGCCGAAGGGTTATTCTGGGGGGCCGTCCGCGCATGGCGGCGCGTGCGAAGGGGCTGGCAAGGCGGCTGGCCATTTTGAAGGTGCAGGCGCTGCTCGGTGTGCACCCCTCCGGGGTTGGTGTGCTTGTGAACGTGCGGCGGCGCGCTCTCATGTGTCATGGGAACGTTTATTGCTGCATGTATTGGTGTTGACTTGCGACAACAGAGAGGGGCAAGAGCTGCGCGGTCGTTGTGGTGTGTGCTGCAGTTTGTCCGGTGGGTGCAGTTTGTCCAGTGTCCAGTGGGTGAGAGCGGCCGTTTCCAGATGAATGTCACACGATACGGTGTGCTGATGTAAAGCATGCGCACGAGCACCCGACGGTGATTAGCACCAGGCACCAACAGGGGCGCACACGCGCACAGCACCACGGCCACCGTCTCCCTAGACACACCCTGCCGTACCCCTGCCCCGACTTATTGGCACAGGCCAGACGCCTACTCTTGCACACCCCGCACAATCTTCCGCGTACACGCACACAGCGACACACAAACCAACATGAACACACCCGCCACCACAGGCCCTCACCAAGACCTGCACCAGCCTCCTCCGCGCCACCCTCATCGTCGCGCGCGTCGACCTCGCCGCCGCCACCTACCCCGGCAACGTCGCGGCCCCCCTCC